TTTTTTTTTTATTATTATGTACTATATAAAATACTTATACAAGGGGGGGGGGATTAACAGTGTCCCGCGGGATCAATATGTAAATAATATTAATAGTAGCCGGCGGAATCGATATGTAGATATTTTAAACAGTAGCCGGCGGAATCGATACAAACCTTTTTTCTAAACAGGTAGTTTCGGCGGAATCAATAATCCCCCCATTTTACGACAAACAATTGATTGTCGTGCCCTTGCTTAGTAAACACTAAACAGCAATATAGTCTAACAGGTTATACTTGCTCAGAATCRTTTTTCCTATGCAACGATATTTCATTGAATATAATTTAACACTTACATTACAGTGACTTACTTAATGGTGAGGTATATGTAACAATTACTGTACAACAGATTGGTTATACTTTTCCCCTTTTTTATATTTGAAATTAGATTTATGAAATTACCAGTATTTCCGGGGTGTCCGGGTAATCCATCAGCTCCTGGTAATCCTGGTAATCTAGATGATTACAAAAATCTTAAAATTATAAAATTACTTCTGGAAATAAGAAAGRATTTCTATATTTTGTTGTGGAAGTTGGCGGAAAGTATGAATTTGATTGTAATAAAAATATAACAGGTAAATAAACTGTACGAAAATAAAAGAGTAAAAAGTACAGTATTGAAATATAAAAACAAGTTACCTATTTAGTTGGTATTAGTATTTATATTATATTAACTTAAAAATTAAAAATTAAACTTATGCTAATTTGTGTTAATTCATGATTTTCATATTAAATTACATTTTTATTAAGACTAATAGTAATATAAAGCATAATACTATAATACTTTAAACTGTTAAGTATCATTTGGTCGGATACAATATTTATTTGTTAGTAATATTTTATTTAACTAACCCTGGTTTTCCCGGAGGTCCTAAAACAAAATAATATAATAAAAGTTAAAATCATATAATTTTTTTTTTAGATATCATTATACATATATTTTATGATAATATACCTTGATCTCCTGGAGGACCCAAAGCGCCTGGTGCCCCAGTAGAACCAACAGGACCAGCAGCGCCAATTTGACCAGGTGGTCCAGGGATTCCTAGAAATTAAAATACCGATATAATTTTTGTTCATCCTAATGTATATTATTTAGAGAGAAAAAATATTTTTCGCTGATGAATTATGTGTCAAGGGCGGGTTGAAGTGAGTTATTTAAGCCGTGGGTGGCGTATGCGGCGTGTTTCATTCAAAACTGAAATTGCCTTCCCCCGTATGAGTCACATATACTATTTTTGTCCCGATTCTGCACCTATCAATCATAATAAACGTAATGAAGGGATCTATGCAACAACCAGAATATTCTACGAAAACTATTTCATGAAAGAAAGATTTGTACGCGTTATGCAAGGAGGTTATATTATTAATAATATGTAACCAAAAAAATATATTTTTTAAGGACCGTAATATAGATTTCAGTGCATGGTTGAGAGGGGACATTTTGGGATATCCACTTTATCGTCCAGCACTTTGGGGGTTCCAACTGTATCGCCACGCRGCTGGAAGGAAAAAGGTAAGGCCACTTTCCAATGCTATAACAGTCATAGGAAACTAAATTTTCGCTGCAGGTGTGATAAAAATTTGAATTCGAATTTTAAAATTATATCATTATTAATTATGCTATTTTCTATARGTATACGTACCAGTATTTCCAGTGTTACCCTTAGCACCTGTAAAAATTTWAAAAAAATTTTAATTTTTAATACCATAATAATATCATAATAGTAACTAGTACAAATATATAATATTTTACGAAATGCAAAATCGCTAATATGAATGAATTATTTTATTATTATTGATATAATGTTTATTTGTTTACAAAATTGTTTTTTTATAATTTAAAAGTCGATGAATGCATAATATATAAACATAAAATGAAGAAAATAGTATATGTATTGAATATCTTGGATACTAATAAAAATTGTACTTTGGGTCATGTCTTAAGCATAAAAGTGTATCCATATAAAGATAAAGATTTAAGAAAATATGTATTTCATCACTATATTATTCTGACGGGAGAAAATGGTTTTGGATTATCTTACTTATACCTATTTAAACCRTTAGCTTATAATATTATATATTCAAACGTGTTATACATGTTTTTTTTAATTTCATAAAATTTGTTAGTTATAAATATGTTATAATACATAGATCTGATATCTGTATTATATGAATTTATTATTAAATATGTAACTATATTATGAAAAAATATTTTTAATTGAATTAAGTTTGACAAGTTATCGTGTTTTTTTTAAAAAACTTTTTAATTGAACCAGATACATGCCTGTCATATTTAATACAGATTTTCAAACTAAGACATGTGCCTAATCCACAAAATAAAAACAACAATTATCCCTTAAAAAAGATTTCTAAATAATAATACAATTATTGTACCTGCAGGACCTTCTGATCCTGGAATTCCTGGGGGGCCAGGAGGGCCTGGGAATCCACGTAGACCGGCAAAGCCTCTGGGTCCCTAAAATTATAATTACATATTTTCATATTTTTAATTTTGAATTATATAGCTGTGACAACAATATATACAGGCTTGTAAGTTGTTAGTTGTAAGTTATTTGATTTTTTTTTTTCAATTTATATAAAATTAATTTACGAAATTGTCTCTGAATTATCATTTATATTTTATTTTAACAAATGACGTTGATAGTTATTAATTTACTATACATAATAATAACAAATATTTTTTAATTTTGAAACATTTTTAAAATATTATATGGTGTATAATTTTACTAAGAAAAAATTGATTTTTTTATTCATATAGTACACTCTCGTTACGTCAAAACTCAATTGGAACAGATACAAGTTCGAGATGATTTTCGACGTATCGAAAATTTACATAATAACAATCTAATAAATTAGTATTATTTTTGATTATATAAAATTTCAATCATTTTATTTATTTAGCTAATTATGGATGAATCAATCAATTCTATATTTTATTTTTTCCATTTTTATTGTTTAAAATACGTTTCAAAGATTGAAAATTGTGATTTCCTTTATTTAAAATAAAAATACTATAGTTGTGATATTTATTTTGAGTAGTTTTAAGATAATAATATAGTCATGTGACAATAATATTATACWATAATACACATATATTATGTATTATATTAAACATTTTAAATATATATTAATATATTATTTAACATCAATTAATTTGTATTTGAGAGAAGGTAATTTACATTAATAATGCACGTATAAAACTGTATTATTAACATAAGCACTTGCATTAGATATTGTATATTCTTTAGCGAGTTATTATGAAAGATATTACCATTTCTCCGGGTAAGCCAGCTAAACCTTGAGGCCCTTCTTCACCTTGGGGTCCATCACTACCACGAGGGCCTGTAACACCAACTTGACCTAAAAGTTATTAAAATTAAAATTAGTTATTACAATTATTTCTGTTTAAATAAGTTGTTTGAAACGTAAAATCTGTTTATAATTAGAGTATTAAATATTTTGACATACAAGATTGCACTTACATAACAGTTAAGTATTTATAATTTGTTTGATAAATCTTAAAATTCTGACAAGCTATTTATTAGTTCTGATCTCTGATATAATATTATTATATACGATGAGAATCTTATAATGCTGATAGATGTGAAYAATTATTTCAAATAATTATATAGTTTAATATATTTATATCATAAAAGAGCTACTTTGATTGAAATTTGATGTATTTTGTGTTCGACTTACCTACCTACTTGAAATTAAGAAATATATTACCAATGAGTATGGCTTATTTATGTAAATGCTTTAAAAGTTGTATTATTAATTTCCGTTAAATGTTTAATTAGCTATGGGTGTTTGAAAGTTTAAACAAGTATAGTGGTACAAGTTGTGTTTGTATTGGGTTGTGGTGGTTAGGTGGGTTGAAATATATGTATAGGTACAAACAAGGGGTGACACTCCATGTAGGTGAACTTACCTTGTTACATTAATCTTGTTTATGAGTGTATAAATATCTACTAGTCTATTCTTAAATCTAAATAAAATATATAAATTCGACATTATCGATATAAATCCATATCATCTATATTATTCAAAATCYCTCCTCGTAATACACGTCACACATATCTATTTCTTATTCCTCCATCTTTTACGTTACACGGTTCAAATAATAAACTGTTATATTATGTCCTTTGCTAACTTCGACTCTTCTTTCTCAATTTTTACTTAATCGATTTAAAACTGTAAAACTTAATTTACTACCTAATTTAATATTAATTGGCATAATAGCTATATACCTGTATCATATTTTTGTTTTACTTCTTTTATATTACTATAAAAACTATAATATTATTATTTATATTTTTTTTCTCTTTCCTGTATGTTTAAATTCAGTAATACAAGCAATAATGCCCGTAAATATTTAAAATAAATAAATAAATTATAAAACCAAGTGTTAAATGTATTATTAAAATCACTATGCGTAAGATTTAATTGTGGTGATATTATGATGGTACTTACCTGGAAGTCCACGATCTCCTTTTTCTCCAGGCAATCCTACAAAYATATAATTATCCTTAAAGTATTATTTACTAAGAAAGGCGTATGAATACACAAACAATAAATTATGATTTATTAGCACTAAGTTATAATTATATTTTAACTCAATCAAGTATTGATTTACCTATTCAATTGATTTTGTTGTATAACCAACTAAATATTAAAAACCTATGATACGAAATTTACAAGAAAATTGTGGCAGATAAAAAAAAATGAGCAGTACATTTTGTAACCATCAAATAATATTTTAGAATGTAAAATATTTTCAAAGTAAAGAACTATAAATTATAGATAAAATAAAATAATAATACCAATAAGTTATAATAATTACCCATTGCTCCTGTTAATCCTGGCTCTCCTTTGACTCCAGGTKGTCCTGTAACACCTCGTTCTCCATCTCGACCCGGTTTACCCCTGTGTCCATCACGACCTTTTGGAATTATAAAAATAATATACTCCAATTTAATTATTGTATTTTTTTTTTTTAGAGTAAGATAGTTTATATTATTGTTCTTACTTAAAAATTAAAATTAAAACTACTCAACGAGGTATTCAACTTAATTAAGATTAAAATAAAATTACATTATTTCAGAAAACCTTTTTTTTCTTTTTTAAATAGAGTAAATATTGAAAGTTTTCTTTAATTTAATGTAATTTAAAAGTGCAAATAAAAATGTGTCATAATACGATTTAAAGCTTTAGTTGAATTTTGTTTTTCAGATATATAATATATGGATATATAATATTTATTGAACTTAATAATCCGTTTTAAAGCTACTATAAATAGAATGATAAAAGTTTAATTTTTTTGTAATAATTAAATATTAACTAGTGAATATTGACATTATATTAACCCATTTCTTTAATGCCTTACCTATAACATCATTATAATAAATAGTTGATTTCAAAATGTTTGTACTTCAATATCTATCATGATCCTAAAAAATTATATATACTAACCTGGTGGACCTGGCATCCCTCTAACACCTCTTGGTCCCTAAACAGAATTCAAACATTGGTGTTATTCGACTAGGTTATATACCCATTTATTTTTTTACTTATTAGTGAATTATGTAAATAAATAGTAGAAATATTAGTACACTTATAGTTCATATGTCTACTAATTATAAATAATTAAAAATAAACTAATGTGAAAAAAATATTGCTTCGTTTAATATCCATAAAATTATGGATATTATATGATAATTCTGGATTAGTTTCTTTTTTAGAAATATTAATTATTCTGATTTTYAGTTAGTTTATCATTTTAGTTTTAACATTAAATTTATAGTTTAYATTGTTATTTTRTTTTGTGGAATAAATCGAATAATAATCTAACAAAATCCTAACAATTAATGATCGAATTGATTTTTGAAAGTTGTAATTTAATATTATATTGAAAGCATTATGATCAAATAGGAACGAAGCGAGCAAATTTTGTTATGCTCTTTTATAATTTAGTTTTACTAAGTGACTACCTATGCAATACGCAGTTTTTTAATGTGTTTATCCAGTGGTGTACACTGTACACACTATACAGGTGTAAGGTTTTAGGGTTCTGACCCCCCTGAATTATTTTCATTTTACAAAAAAAAGATTTATTTAACACCATTTAAATACACAGAGTCGATCAATTGTTGGTAATTTTTAATAGATATAAATTAAATTGTTAATTTATTATTAATTAAAATTTGTTATAAATAATTATGAAAAAATTGTTAAGCAAATTATTTAAATTGTTTATTATTATTTAAATTATTTACTCATGTGAAACCCTAACCGAACTAAAATCATGCGTACGCTACTGTGTTTATTCTGGAAAGCATCGCTGGATCGCCTGGATTTATAAAATATATTTATATTAAGTTACACTTACCACTTCTCCTTGTTCACCAGACTCGCCTTTGGGTCCTTCGGGACCAGGTRGACCTTTAATTGTTTACAAATCACATTAAAATTATTAAATACATGTGTAGTCGTTATAAACACTTATACAATAATACAAAACAAACCTTCCGGTCCTACAACTCCCGTCATGCCCATTGGTCCATCTATTCCTCTCATAGATAACTAAAGTAATAAAAATAAATTAAATTTTACTATCTATCCAGTRCCTATATAATGTGTCAAAATTCACTTATTCTATTTAAAACCAATCAAACTTAATTATACGGACCATGTGTTGTGYCAACATTTGTCTGAACATTTCGGCTTGGCTATCTGGACCTTTATCCCCTGGATTTTGGTTAAGCTAAAATTAAAACAGAATTTATACATATATTTTAGTAATATTTAGTGATTAAAATTAAATAACGATACAAACTGGTATTAAAAACACGTGTCCCGGAGGTCCTTGTATACCAGCATACCCGTCTATGCCATCACGACCAGCATCTCCTTTTGGACCTTGGGGCTAGATAATAATAAACAAAAGGATAATCTTTACCACTTAAACAAATATTACCTACCCGTTAAAACAATAAAAAGTTATAGAAACCGCGGTGAACTGGAAAAACGAAATACGCACGAACGAAGTGCATGTCAGGTGGAGATAAAACGCAGTTGAGTAAAATAATTTAGTGTTTGTTTGTAGGTATTGTTATATGTGTATAAACTATACATAYATATTATACAGGGTTTAACAGATAGATCTGACAAAAAATAAAAATAAAATAATTGACGTCAATTTACAATTTTTGTCATGCGTTTTCTAAAACGTTAAAAATATAATTTTTTTWAAATTATTACTTTTTAAATTAATTTGCTCTAAAACAAACTGCCCTGAAAAACAAACTACTTGACTTAGATACATGTTTTTTTGCCATCAAAATTTTTCGTATAATCAGATTTACGAATTGGCTATTTTAAAATCTTTAAAAAAAAATATTTGAGTTAAATTTTTATTTTCAGTTTCAAGAATTAAAAATGAAAAATGTATACTATAAATATAACTTAAATGTTACCATATATACATTATACATTTATTTTTTTAATATTGATTATAATAAAAGTTATTGTATTAGTCAGTTCTTTCTATTAAAGTGTTACACTCTGTATATTATACACATTGTTAGTATAATATTATAAATATAGGCTGCACTATGTATTTATACGAATTGATTAAAGTGTCAGCGATCGTTCGACGTGATAAAAATAAAGTGACGATTGATCAATCAAAATAAGAAAATATATCTCGATTCGATATATCATATTATATCCACCTACCAACCTACTGTGACGGATACAGTTGACCGAATTGATCTTATCTTGTAGTTTGTAAATAAAGTAAAGTAAACAATTTAAAGGTTTTGGTACCAAGCGGATATTGAATACCTGCTATATTGGCTAATGGATATAAAATATAAATATTCATAAATTTATATATTTCAATATTAAATGTTATCGTCAAAATTATGAAATTAATTTGTTCATTAAATTAATTAATTTACTAATGAACTGAAACTCGTATGGAATTTAACAATTTTTTTTAGTGTAGGAATACCGTCTACTTCAATTCACTCCTGGGTCCACTTCCATACAGTGTACACCTATAATATACAGTATATCGGAAGCGCAATAATACTATTGAAGAATGTCAGAAGAGACGAAAACGCTTATCATCTATACAATTGGAAGTATGTAATTTCGTTTACCCCTTGCACTCCGGGTGGGCCAGGATATCCACGAACGGCCGACACACACGAAGATTGCAGAATACCATACGAGCTCTGGCTGATGTTCGCATCGGACGATTTTGGGCTGTGAGTCTGTGGGAAAACGAGCTTATTAATAATTTATCAAAAGAAAACATAACATGGGAAATAATTGTAGTATTATTAACTTATCACCATACAATATCGCACAATGATTTGTTTATGTTTTCTACGGTATAGGTATAATATATTGAGAATTACGTACAACGCTCGTCGTTTCCAATGGATTCGCATCGGCCGTGGAAGATTCTTCGAATTTGTTTTCGTCCGTCACGTCAGTTTTCGATGTTTCGATTTTATTTTGCGTTTCAATACATACATTCATCGGGACGGAACACATTTCATAAGCAGCATCTGGCGTTGAATAAAACCTTAACTCTTGAATGTCACCCTAGAAATATTTTAAAACTTCTTGTTTATTCGTTTCGATATTCCGACGCGCATTGTCCCGTACAATATGAAAACTGACATTCAATTATGGAACTGAACATAATGAATCACAACTAAAGAACAGCCCTTACGCCCCTTAAAATATTATAATATAGGTGTAAGATATTTGTTTGTGTCATATCAAATTCAATTTGAAAAAAAATGTTGACTGAAGTTATCGGAAAATGTAGGTGTTTTCATTATAGGGCTACATAAGAATTAATATATGTCATATTGATAAATTACATTTTGTATTATGATTTTGATTGGAATTGATTTCGATTGAATTGATTATTTCTAAACATACACAAGATTCTGTTATTCTCCCTTGAAATGAATTGCACCTATTACCTAACAATGCATTTTTTTGCAAAAATAAAAATTTAATTTCGAATTTTAATCATATTTTTTAACTAAGCAGTATTATTCATTGAGTTTAACATTAAATTGGATTAATTAATCATTGATCTAATATAAATACCGAAGTGATAACATAATAAAATTCACTATGTTAAATTATAGTGGATACCGATGTAATTGTTGTATTAATAATGGTAATAAAATATGGCAATGGCGACCAATTATAAGATTATTACCGTTTATTTTTGTGTATTATTAAGTTTATGTGAGTATATTTGTGATGAATGAATTTAGTTTTGGATATAATTATATTTGTATAACATAATTAACATAATCTATAATAATTACAAACAGGATGTTTGTTATTTAAATATTTAAACCAAAAAGTTTTCTTTTACATTAAAGAATGATTAAATTAAGTTTACCACTCACTTAAAGATAGTTGAT